GATGGGCGAAAGATCCGGACTAATGGAAACTCATTTTAGGAGTTCTATTTCATGGCCATATCATTAATTTTTGGAAGTGTGCCATGCAGCACCATCTTACTGAAAGATATTATTTCCAGAAATCTTACTTTCTTCCAAAGTAAGCAACAAATAATCCTCTAAGATGTCTAAATATTAGTCTGAGTTAATAATACCATTGATAAAGTTTAATTTTTCAACCCCTCTAGCCGACATTAAACCACAGACAATTACCGAAGGTGGAAATTAAACTTTGCCATTAATACAATCAGGATGGTAAGTTTCATGTTTCTGAGGGATAACTCTGCTGCTCTACCTATCACCGACACAAATTTCAAAACGCTATTCATTTCAATGTACACAATTATTCCACCTCTTCATAAACCAATTTTTTCGAGTCTTTAGCCCATTTCAACCTGATACCCTTCTGTTTTAGGGTCAATAATGGTTTTTCTTAGGGCATCGGCCCAGCTTAGCACGTTCACCTATTGTTTATCGATATCTGCAGTCAAGCCAGGCCCAGCGCAGTTAGTAGTTGGATGGGTGACCATTTCAATGAAAGTCAGCGTACGTCCGAACAAACTGCTCGCTTAGTTGCATACAACAACGGGTAGGCGAGTACCTGATATAGTGTGGGGTGTGCTATCTTTTCAAAGCAGATGTAAAGCCTTCGGTCCCAGGTACATGATGGTGGGTGAGGTTTTCCGGACCTGTAAGTCAAATGGCACCATCAATCATCTTTAAGTCGCCCCGTAGCGCCACGGCAAATAATAATAGCCGTCCCTTCCCCTACACAAGTCGTTCAGTCGACTTCAGGGGTTGAAATTCACTCGTAAGGGGGTGAATTAGGGAGAGTATTATTATTATTATTATTATTGGGTTAATGATCTCTGCCTCTGGATCGAACACCAGGAGATTTGCCTAAATGTCTGGTAATTGGGGGTAGCGTGCTCACCAGCGTCGGTGTTGAAACTTCGTAGCTAGAAATAGGCCTTCGCATAGGAAACAATAAAACTTAATAATTCTGGCTAATGATCGTTAACAATAATAATAGAAATACTCTTTATAATTTACCCCTCACGAGTGAATTTTAATCTCTGAAGCCGATTGAGCTTGTGCGGGAAAAGGACGGCTATTATTATTTACCGTGGCGCTCCGGGGCGACTTAAAGATAATTGATAGTACTATTTAACTTACAGCCACTATCATCTACACGGTACCTTTTCTGGATCTACAATAATTGGAAAATATATAATAAGTACATTTTATCTTTTACATTATTAAAGTCCATACAATTGAAATGACAAGTTAAACGTCAAACTTTCAAAACAAAAAACAAACATATTTGTGTTGTGTTCCAAACAGAAAGTACATAAATAACCTCGCCCCTAACCAAGGAACATGGTCAAATTGGCTAAGGACCGATTCCACCGTTGTGTTAAACGGAGATTAAAATGACATTGTTAATGTAAAAATGTCATTTTAAACTCCGTTTAACACAACGGTGGAATCGGTCCTAAGCCAGTTTTACATTCGTCTAGGGAGCGATGTTGCAATTTCACTTTAGTGTCTTTTCCGTCTGTTCAGATGGCAGCATCTTATGGACAGTACATTTTTAAATCCTAACACAAGTTTCCTAAAATAATTAGGCAAAAATAAAAGAATGTATTTTGCGTTTTAGCTTTTAAATAATATAAAAAATGGTGGAGTCCATAACTTTTAAATATTTGTTAAATGTCACTTATTAAAATATTATGCATTAAAAGTAAAACAAACTATAGACTTTCCACCATTCTTTACCGTACTCTGAACCCATTTTTAAAAAATATTTTCGAAAATATCGTTCAGTGCTGTATTTTTTGTGATAAAAAAGTCGCCTTCACTTGTCATTGACAACGCGTTGAACTTGGCCTCAATATCAAGGTATGTGTGTGTCCGATGTGGATAAAGAAACGCTCGAGATGTAAAAAATGCATCTGGGGGGCTATTTTCAAACTCGAGAGAATTCTTTCCATCAAGAGAAATGTCATACGTCAACGTAAAACCGTATTTTTAGGGCCAGTGTGAACTCACTGACTGTTTCTCTCGGTTTATTTAGAGATAATTAAAATTCTCCTAAGAATTTTAATCCTCGATGTCTTTAAATACAGCGTTTCCACATTGACGTAAGACATTTCTGATGAGAATCTTGAGAGAAATGAGTGCTCACATACTTTGAAAATAGGTCCCCTGATGTGGATATTCAAACGCGGCAATTACACTTTACTTATTTTTGTTTGAAATAAATGTTTATTTTTAAAATTTTGGTTCTTCTTAATTATACTTTTTGAAAATTATTATTTCTATTAGCCAAAACGATATATTTGATAAAACAAAGATTTATTGTTAAATTTATTTAATATTAGTTCTAGTCACATACTTTGATTTTCTCTTACTATACGGAGAATGGTCGCACTGCGCAGCTTTCTGAGTGCCTTTTAATAGAATATAGAAAACTCCGCCATTTTGAACAGTTATTACGTGTTGCCTACATCTTGGCGCAATAGTTTTAGTGTTTGTGTTATAATATTTACCCAAAGTCAGTCCCGAACGATATTATTTACGAACCTACACTTTACAAAACCATTAACAAATAATGAATATCTTGAAAACCTTGCTTTACTTGGTGATTTTATGTAAAATCTTTCCATTTGTAAGTAACAGTAACTAGGCACTTGTTATGTTCCTATTGTATTCTAAATGCTTTTTATTTTTCAGGTCTCCTAGGAATTTCGAACACTTAACTTGAACAGTGTTTACAAACCATTAATCAAATTGTTTAGAAATTATTTTCAGCTAAACTCTGTTAAGTCTGTTCTCAGCATTTTGAGGGAAATGCTTATTGCTCTTATGTAAAAAAATATGTGATCAATCAAGAAACAATTCTTTGTAGAAGGCAAATACCAAGAAAATTGAAGCATTTACTTCAATAGATGGGAGCAGTATTAAAATCAAACAAAATATTATAAATAAACATGTAAGTAATATTGTTACTTTTTGGAACAATTATATTATAATAATTGTTTTTATTTATTTCAGGTTTACTACCTCTGGCTCATCTAGACTCCTGAAAGTAAAGGTAGTTCACAGCCTCACTAAGAAAATAGCTCCCTTTGCTAAATAGTTTTTATCTGGAACAGTTAGAAAATGACCTGTAATATTTAATTTTTTTATTTGGTACAGTAAACTGTGTAACAAATTCGGGTAAATGGAAATTTCTGAGAAGCAAAAGTACCACTGATTCAGGTACATTAATTTTGTTAGACATACACAGGAATCATAAAAGTTACAAAAACGTCTTTTAGAGCCACCATGTCGACATCCTTTTTACAATATTAAGTAGGGAGATATGAAAGAGTTTTGAAAATATACACTGGCAATCTAATGTTAATACAATTAACAAACTTGTGTAATCTTTGAAAACGAGAATATTGGTGGAGTTGGTGGCAGTAATACCCATAGGGGTATTTTCTTGAATAGAAAATATTCAGCAATTTCTTACTGTGTAACAACTAAAAGAAGACTCATTTGTAGATGAACAATACATCTGTTTTAGTTAAAAATTTAACAACTACATATAACTAATTTAAAAAAAAAATAATTATTATACAAATTCAACGTGTCTGTCTAAGATAAATTATAAGATAAAAACACAAACCAACTATCTTTTGCAGCTTGCATGCAAGAATACAATCCTCTGGTAATATCTTTTAGTTAGAGCTTCTTTAATCTCACATTTATTTTATAGTTTCGTACCATATTTACACAGCTGAAAAAATGTAAAATATATTAGATTGTTTACCGTCAAAGATTTTTATTACATTACAAAAATAAAATGCTTGTTCATGGGCATGGGACTGGCGAAAAATATCATAATATTAAGGTAAAATCATCCCAATAAACAGTTAACCCGTAAATGGGCCGAAAGAAGCTTGCCGGACTCGGCCCGATATACGGGTGCAGCTTCGGCATATAGGTAGGGCATGTCCGCCCAGCCGAATGTCGGCAGCCCACTACATTGTAGCCGCGTTTATATATCTATATATAGTTCGGCCCGTAAGGATGCCTCCCATGCCCGGCTACCCAAATATTCACCGTGTTCGGCCCGTAAGGATGCCTCATGTCTGCAAAGCCAAATATGGACCACATGCTATTTCTACTTCTAAATTACGTCAAATTGTACGGTACTCCCGGCTCAGAAGCAACCCCGACAACGGCAATCCATGTACAGGGCTTCCCGTACAGTACATGCCGGCAAGTTCTTTATACAATGATGCCGGTGGCAGGCCGAGCGAATGCCGACTATTTGTGGTTTACTGGGATATGCACAGCTTTAGAAATAATTTACAACCACTCACCTCTATTTCAAGATGCACTCGCAATTATAACTTTAGTTCAAAAAAGTTTCTTGTATATTATTTAAAATAAACTTTTCTTCTACACTTGTTGCCTTCAATTAAAATCTCAAAATACTAAGATGTAGGCTACCAGTTTAACATTTTCGTAAAATGTGTTGCCTAACCTAGTAGTAATTGCATCAAAATGGCCGCGCCCTATGTTGAGCGTGTCGGAGGACGTCAGATGAATAAGTAAACTATCGTCGGATGTCTCTCTTGCACCGTAGTATAGTAATAAAAGCATTATAAAAGTATGTGGTTCTAGTACATTTATGTTACTTTAAAATATTATTTATTACGATTTATTACCTTTTGGTTCAAAATTCTACTACGAAAAAAATTAATTGGTGTGGCAACTGTGGTGGCAACACTGCGTGACGTAATGTTCTGTGGTGAACGTAATTTTACAAAAATAAAATTTATGTCATGTCAGTAAATTATTAAATACATGGAGGAAGGATTAAATATTTATCTTTCTTTTTGTATTAAAAGTTGATTTGGAAATAATACAAAAATACAAACATTTTAATATTTTGAAGCAATAAAATGGAAGTTAAAGAAACGTTTCTACGAATACTCCAACTAGCATTATGTGGATTTGGAATGATAAATTCTTTTTATGTTATTACTGAACTTATGTACTTTTTATCGGTACCTAAGAAACCAGAGCCCTTTAAGGAAGGTAGAGCAATGTATTATACCTGCACGTCCATTATTAAAATTTTAATCTGAATATGTTATTTTTGGTTTGTTTAGTATAACTTATTGCTTTTTTCTGCCATAAAGCCCTATTTCTAAATAATATCTTGTATACATACCTACAAGTTTTAGAAAACAATTTTGTTGTCTTTCCTGACATTGTTTTCTGAAATCTTAACATAAAAACAGATTTTAGGTAGAAATATATGTCGTCAAATGCCTATTTTATGTATTTTCACATTAACTTTCTTTCATGTATATGTCTTTTAGATCAACAGTTAATTATTTCATGGGCTCTTTTAATAAACATGGCTCTACTATCTTTATTTATTGTACAACATTCGCTACTGGCATCAAGTAAAGTTAAAGAAGCATTTCAAGCCAATGGATTTCAAGTCATTTATCGCAGTGTATATATCATAGCTACATCTGGAATTTTATTAGTGAGTGTTTATTTTGTGTTAATATTTTGTACAAAAAATATTCATATTAGCTCTTTTCACGAAACCGATTCCAATCATATTCTGAATGCTAAGGTAAAATTTACACTGCATGGTATAACTGGATTTGTATTGTTAATATGTTTATGTAGGCCTGTATGCTTTTCCTTAGCATTCAGAATATGTTCAGGCTCGGCTCCACGAAAATAGGTATTATGTGAACTTAACTGGATTTTCATAGTCAAACTTAACTAAAAAATGCATAAAACGCATCTTTTTAACACCAAACGATACGGTTATGGAAAGAAAAAAAAATATTGCAATAACTCGAAACACTAGAAAATGGCACTTGACTCCTTTCAACAATATACAATTCAATTGGAAAGGAGCATAGATAAACTTTATGGAGAGGAGTCACAACTAACTTAAAAATGTTTTACCGTTTATGACTATCACCAGGACACCATGGAATATAAGATTGGCACTCTCACCACCAGTGTAACATTAATATACACCCCTGTTGAGACAAAAGTGTAACATTAATGTACACAAACAACTTTTTGTTGTAAGCTGCAGTGCAACATTGTTATTATATCTAACGTTTACATTGAATTGATTTTAGTGGTGTACGGCTACATCTCGATATATAGAACCTTGGTCTCTGACGTTTCTTAATAGTTTAGGATTTAGGTGAAATAGGGATATGATAAAAACATTAATTTAGCTCTTGTTTTCATTTGTTTTTTTTTATTAACCTCTAAATGTTCACTGCTAAATTATGATAAATATTTATAAATTTCTGAAAAATACTAAACTAAATATTTCATGAAACTGTAACAAAAATATATGGGGTAAAAACGAAAATATGAAACAGGATTTGCAGTAATGTGGATAGCCTTCACATTGTTTTCTATTGGTGGTGTACAAAAATGTTACACTTGGTGCAGGATAGCAATTTCCTTCGCAAGCCAGTGTAATATTTGTGTACACCTTACGAAAACAAACTAATATAACCTACTTATAGCAAAACATAACATATCATAAAAAAAAATTGAAAAAAAAAAATGTTTGCCTGGGGCATTCAATGTTACACCTGGCGGTGAGAGTGTTAATATTCCAGTTATCCTTGTAATTTCTTCTATTTTTTATCAATTAAGTTTTTTTTATGATCTAAATACTCAAATTGCAGCAAACAATTTTAAAATGTGTCTTTTTCAAGGAAATTTAACTTAAAAATAGAATTAATGTAATATGTCATCAATAAGAATCGTTTCTTCCTATATTTATGGAATCATGTTTGTAAAGTTTTACTTATTTTTTCAGTACATATTGAAACATTGGAAAACTACATCCAGTGCTGTTTTGTGGGGTTTTAATTTAAATTACAAGCCTATATGGTGGCTGTATATTTCAATCCATGCTGTGGCTTGGATTATAATTTATGTTGGAAATATTTGTTGTGATGTTACTGAACTTTTGGGCTTTAAACAGGTAATTAATATAATTTAGAAGTATTTATCCAGATATACTTATTAAAAAAATAATTTTAGGTTTATTATAATATGGTGAATTTGCCCGATCCAAATTTGAGAAAATCTCAACAGTTGCAGAGACTTAATAATCATATGAGGCATCCCAGTTTTTTAGCTTTTGCTCTAATTTTTTGGTTAACTCCCATAATGAGGTATGATACTATTATTTATATATGAATAGTAAGGTTTTTTTGTTTAACAAGTACTGGAAGTATACTCGGATTTCAAAATAATATACACTATAGGCAGTGGGAAAATATAAAAACGTGTAATGGAATGCTGACATTAGGTACCCTATTCTCGAACTCATGAGAGTCCTCCTACACTCTCCTACTCGGCTGCTTCATCGCCAGTTTTGCCAGACGACCAAAATCAAATTGTTGTACAATGCTGTAGAAATTATCTTTTTTTATATATATAATTTTATCATACAAAACTGACCTTACTAAGGTGGCGTTATCGGAGACTGGTTAATTTAAGAGCTTATGGGGTTAGAGTTAAGGTAATTTGATAATAATTTTTTTCAGTACACATAAAAAAACAAAAGAAAAAACCTATTGTTTCAAAAATGATTTTTTCTTGTAATTCTTTCTGTTTTTGTTCTTTTAATTGATTTTGTCTATACATTTTTAAAGATGTCTTGAATGTTATCATTTCATATGTAGGTTTAAAACTTACGCATCCATTATCCAAATGGCCCCGCACTTATTTCCTTATGTAAAGTGGCGACCAGTCAAATTTTCTGAAACTATGGTATGTTATTGTACTCAACCTAGTAACGAAAAGTGTCAATAGGCTCAAGTCAATTAAATGACTAGCTTTCGATGTACAGGGTGTTAAAGTTAAAAATTGCCTAGTTTTCGAAAAATTTTATTTTCAAACTTACGAGCTAGATTGAATTTCTGTTGTGTACACACGTTTACTACATGTTTTAGTAATACATTAGTACATACGTAGAATTAAAAATATTTTTTGTTAAAGGGTGATTCACAAATGTATGACGGTTTATAGTTTTTCCAAAATCTCACTAATTTTACTGTGACGTCAGGGAAGCACATTTTTAAAAAATACAAAATATGGTATTTTGGCAATAAAATATTATACAGTACAAATTTCTTATACAGGGTGTTCTAATATGAACTATTAGATTACCCTGTATATTTTAATATCTTATGGTTACACACCTAATGTAACATTATTAACTCACTGAAAAGTCACTAAAGAAATGCTAGGTATTCTATTTAATAATTTCAAAACATAATTATTTTTTGGTGGTTGGCTGGATGGCCCACCCTGTATAAAAAATATAATCACTCAATGATGAAATAATTTCCTTAAGGCTCTACTGTAGTTATTGAGTGTTTGCAAAAATATATTGTGATTTATTCGTGAAGCACCCTGAAATAATTATTTTTAACCAATGGTGGCTTGGGTCCAAAATATTGGTGGTTCACAATGACAATATAGATCTCAATTCAGATGTAGGTAAAAAACTTTCATAGTCTTCGGTATATTAGCTTTTTGTTCGCGGTAAGAATCCTGAACGGAATTATTACTAATAGTAATGATTTCGCAGGCGCAATAGTTAAGAAGCGTTCGGGGAACAAAAAGAAATGAACTATTGGTTCGATCCTGCGTTCGCGGTAAAATTAGAACCGCTTGTGTTATACCTGGAACACCGAGATCACGGTGCTTGGGAACCAACTTTAAATGAAAAGTTTATATACTATACTTTTTTTTCGGTCAAAGTATTTCTGAAGGGCTATAGATTGGCGCAATATATTTTTTAAAATCGGTTCCAGCAGCCGTTTTTGAGAAAACTCTATTTTTAATGAAAAAGTGACCTTTTTTACTTTTTTGCTTGTAACTTGCGCATTTCACATTTTCTCGCTTGCCAAAAGTAAATTTCAATGGGAAAATGTCCGCTCTACAAAAAAGCATTAATGACTTTTTTCTCTAAAATCAGCCGATTTTGAGTTAAATGAGATCTCAAATCGGCTGATTTTAGAGAAAAAAGTCATTGATGCTTTTTTGTAGAGTGGACATTTTCCCATTGAAATTTACTTTTGGCAAGCCGAGAAAATGTGAAATGCGCAAGTTACAAGCAAAAAAGTAAAAAAAAAAAGGTCACGTTTTCATTAAAAATCGAGTTTTCTCAATAACGGCTGGTGGAACCGATTTTAAAAAATATATTGCGCCAATCTATAGCCCTTCAGAAATACTTTGACAGAAAAAAAGTCTAGTAAATAAACTTTTCATTTAAAGTTGGTTCCCAAGCACCGTGTCTCATTTAACTCAAAATCGGCTGATTTTAGAGAAAAAAGTCATTAATGCTTTTTTTGTAGAGCGGACATTTTCCCATTGAAATTTACTTTTGGCAAGCCGAGAAAATGTGAAATGCGCAAGATACAAGCAAAAAAGTAAAAAAAAAGGTCACTTTTTCATGAAAAATCGAGTTTTCTCAAAAACGGCTGCTGGAATCGATTTTAAAAAATATATTGGGCCAATCTATAGTCCTTCAGAAATACTTTTACCGAAAAAAAAGTCTAGTAAATAAACTTTTCATTTAAAGTTGGTTCCCAAGCACCGTGAGATATAATAAGGATTGCGCGCGCTGTAAAAATTCAGAATTGAAAATGAATCGGGCATGCGCTTAAAGTATGAATTAGTAATTCTGAATCAGTTCAGGATTGTTACCGCGAATAAAGCTATTGTACCTTTCTATACCTTTCTAAAACACTGAAAGTTTTTTACCTACATCTGTACTGAGATCTATATTCTCTGTCATTGTGAACCCCCTATATTTTGGTCACAGTCACAACTGTTTTAAAGTCCCTTGTAAGCAAAACTTATATTAAACTTATATATTCTACATAGAGACAATCTTGAAGAAAAAATAAAACTAAAATCAGCAATTCTCCACTTTGACGCCCTGTATCTCAAAAACTGGCCATAGTATTAGATTTAAAATTCATAACTCTTAAAACAGTGTTAAAATTATTATATACCGAGAAAATAGTTACATTTCACCACGGAAATTTTAGGGTTTTCATGGTTTTTGTACTTTACGTTGTACATTAAAATAGAATATCTTCCAATAAGCCGCCTTGTATATTTTGAAGCTGAGAGATACACATTTTAGTACAGGGTTTTGAAGTAATCCTTAAAAAAAATATTTTGTGGTTCTCACTATAGAACACCCTGTATAAGAAATGTGTATTGATATTTGGTCGACAAAATACCATATTGAGTAGTACTTTTTGAAAATTTGCTTCCCTGATGTCACAGTGAAATGTTGTCAATCACCCTGTAATTAAAAATATTTTTAATTGTACGTATGTAATAATGTATTACAAAAACATGTTATGCCACAGAAATTTATTCTACCCCATAAGTTGTAAAATAAAAAATCTGGAAAATTGGGAATCTTTAACTGTTTTCAGTATATCACATAATCATATAAATACGATAATTATCGTGCGTCTTGCAACAATGCTCTCACCGTTGACACAATTCCTTATAATTTTAGTCGAGTGACATGCGCAGCAAGGCTAAATAGTGAGAGAGAACTCTCACACTCATTTCCATATAGTTGCAGAATACCTACGGCTCTTGTTATCCCTCCAAAATTTGTAGAAATTTTCGGAGCTTACCATAGAAATAATATAGAAGACCAATAGCAGAAATTGAAACCCACTGTGCATAAAAACGCGTCTCTGCGCCTGACATCGCAAAATAGTGTGTCTAGAAGCATGCGCAGTATGCATGACTTGTTCCTGCAGTGTTTCCAAGTATATTAAAAATATCTAAATTAATTTATTTTTAAATTATATGATTTAAACAGATTCTCTCTACGAAATATTTCCACAAAAAAACTTATAAACATTTAAATAATCAACTAATAATATTTATGTGTAATTACATTCCCAAAAATATATACAAAGACGGTATTAATATTCAACAAGCAATTCACCTACAAATTCAATATTGACTTGGCAAGACCACCTAAATCCGGAGTTCCAAGCCTATATGACGCTGCCCGTACAGGACCGTTTGTGATATTTTGGCTGGAATTTGTGGTTTATTATTTAATTACACGGTGAAAGTGGCATTTTATTTTAAGTTTTGTGTAGTGTTAAGTTAAATCCTAGGTACAATAAAAGAATTATAATTATGTAACACTGGCCGAGTTGACATCGGGTATATTTTCAAATGTAGAAACTGAAAATTAACCCTATTAAATTGTACCTTTACCTAACATTTTGACGTCACAGGCGGAGTTGGCATGGGGTATACTTTCAAATTCAGGTTTCAAGGCATTTTAAAACATAAACCCGATCTCAACGAAATTAAAAACTTCTGTCACTCGATATTTTAGTAATTACTTCCACTTCGCTTTTTGGCTGGCACAACAATTATTTACATTTCTTCATTCCTTACCGCGTGCGAACCAGTACGGTTTAAAGAAATTTTAAATAACCTATTTTAAAAATGAAGATGTTAATTATTTTCTCATAAATCGCATCTTCAGATCTTGACTAAATGTATATGGAACTATTCATTTTCTAACAAAAAGAGAATCATAGAAATCGGGTAACGTGGTAAAGAATTATCGCTGGACATTCATAAAAAAATATTTCAACGAATTGAGAATATCCTCCCATTTTGAAGTATGTTAAAAAAAATTGTTAATAAAGTGCAAAGTAGGGCGTGAACATTATAAAGTATATAAAATGATAGATAAAGCCAGTTTAGAAAGTTTTATAAATAAACTGGAAATATCGAGAATCTTGATTTTGAATCGGAGGAAGAGTATATATACTATGCAATTTAGAATGAAAGCTGATCAAAATGAAACACATGAACGACACGCTAATGTTATTGACGACTTCAAACGTTTTCTAGTTTTCCGAAAACTAACTGCATAGTTCGAAAATCATTTCCGTCGTTAAATCGCCTCTTGTTCCGAAAAAGGTACACTGTCAACATTCATCGTTCAATAAAAAAAGTGCTAGATAAAAACGCTTCGTATTGTAAGGCCAAAATATATTTAGAAATCAAAAGAGTCATATAAACAAAAAAATCATTATAATCAAATTAATGATTTACAAGTTTCTTCTTATTATCTATAAAATAGGTTTGCAATGTGCTG